AAATCTGCTTAATTGGAATACAGTGTATTCTTCCTTTCCAGGATTTTTCAGTTCTCTCTGTGTTTCTTGAAACATCCTAACTTTATGTTCTCCATCTATAATGTTTCCACATTAGTAGTCTTAGATTTTATAGTTGCTTTTTTCAATTGTCTCTGGCTTGCAGTAGCTTATTTCCTTTGTGTTTATGATTTTTTAAAACTATTATGAACCTCTGTTCTGTGCCTTCTTATCTGTGGGAATTCTCTGTGACTTGGGGTTCAAGTGTATTCTTCCAGAGGGTTTGCTTTTAAAACCAGGCCTGGGGGACTGGTGGACACAAGGCCACTTTAACTCCATTGGAGGGTCCACTGTAACCATGAACCTAACAAAATCAGCCTTCCTGCCGCTCCCTGCCCTTTATTGTGCATAAGTCTGGGCTCTCGATCCAGGCCCGGGTGGGCATGTGCTCCAGGGAAACCCCGGCTTCCTTAGTGGCCAGCTGTCCACATTTCAGGTTGTTGTTCAGTTTTCATTTGTGTGTATGAGGCTCACTGGGTAAGTCTACGTGGGTGTCAGATTCCCCTCATTTCCTTGTGACTTTACAGTACGTTGCTGTACTTTATTGAGAATCCTTTGTGTTGCCGTCAGGAGCATGGGTTCCAAATGTGTCTTCTGCCACCTGTGTGGGAGCAGAGGGCCCCTCTCTGGTCATCTCTTGCCCAGGGCTTTCTACTTGTTGTTGGGTTGGGTGAGAAGCACTGTATTCCCCTTAATTCTGTCTGGTTTTCCCATCTGACCCAGGATCAGTGCCTTCAAGTCAGGGCTTGAGAGGAGAGTTACCCTGAATGATAACCTGTAGGTAGGCGTAAAGCCACCAGTTCCAGACAGAGCCCAAGCACACCAACCAGTAAAGGGCAGAGTCTCCACACGCTGCTTAACTGTAATAGAACAAATAATAAACCTATAGGAAAAAAGGGGGGGGGAACAGCAGGAGAGGAGGGCCATGACTAAGCAGCAACTTCTACCTTAACTTGCCATTTGCAAACATTGCTCCTTCTTGGCTGGAACAAATGGGAGCTCTCTTTGCTGTTTGGTTTTTCTCATCTGGTTGACGAGAGAATGAGTTCCAGGTTTTCCGGTTAACAGCACGTGGTTTTGTTGAACTGTGTGCTTTACGCTCATAGAGGTCTAGTAAAATCAGGTGGCTTTCATTTATGCTAATGTATGATCATTTGAGTATCATGAATGTAAATTTTACTAACCCTGAAAAAATTACAGGCATCCCACGTTCACTTTAATGAATGGTTTTTCGAGGAGGTTAGAGACTCACCTTCCCATGTGTTCAGGATGGCTGGTTTCTTTTAAGCATTCGGTGTCCTGTAATGACAACCCCTGCAGCGGGGAGCATTTGACACCAGCTCCGTGCAGCTGGCTTGCACCATCATGAATCACTTCGCGCCAAGTCATTAATAATTGAAGGAGCTTGTCACTTCCCACTGAGTTGCGTGTGTAATTTATGGAGTCTGAGCCCATGCTAAAATCTCAGGGAAAGCTAATTTCATCCAACGAGAAAGGGATATGTTTCTGTTTTAATTCTCCCTCCCTGAAGTTATGCCTGCGCCTGTTTGCATCTGGACGTGTTGTCAATGGTTATGTTAGTTTCCCATCTCCATCACAGTAGACGTCCTTCTTTGGGGTTGCAGGGAGATATTTCAGGTTCCTGCTTGGATTGTCCTTGAGAACCAGGGAGGCCACTGTGGGCCAGTCTCAGGGTCCTGGGAGTTTCTATGTTCCAAGGTATTTTGTGGAATCACTGTCAGCAAGCAGCCTGATTCTAAGTGGCCAGAGACCCCACCATCTACAGAATCAGGGGCCCAGGAACAATTTTCTATTCTTTCATCCATGAGATGTCCTTCTGAAGAATGTGTCCATTTGGGTCAAGCGGGTCTTTTTCGCCTCTCTGATGCTGCTTTGTTTAAGAAAGGGAAGGGTTCTCCGACTCAAAGTCTTTCCTCTTGGGGTAGGGTAGAATTTTGGCACCGTTTCGCTTTGGTTATAGTATTTCTCCACCCACCACCCCAAACTTCTTATTTAAAAAAATTTCAAACCTATGGAAAAGAGGAAAGAAAATTACAGTGAACACTTCGCCTAGACACACAAGGAAGTCACTTGGTGGAGGCTTCTCCTACCTTGTCGGTCTCAGGGGTTTCTTCTTCTTCTTCCCATGTGTTCAGAGAGGGGGTCCTGCCTTCCCCTGAACAGTGGTAGTGAAGTGAGTCCCAAGTGCCAAGTGGTTACAGGGAGAAGAATTCAGAACCGAATTGATTTGTTAAAAGCCAGACAGCCCTGTTCACTCATCCAAATGTAGCTGGATTCAGTAGGAATCGGTTTGGTCTAGTTCAGTAGACGGATTGCTTTTATATTTCACAGTAGTTACCTTAAAAGGTGAAGATCAGGAGAGCCATGACATGAGACTTCCATTTTCATTTACTTTAATAACTGTTAGGACGGGCTGTATGATAAATTCTATTCATTCAAAGTTTTACATTTGGTAAACACCTCGGAGTAATCCTATCTCAGCCATTTGTATGTACCCAAGACGTAGCCAGGAAACAGGAAATCTGCAGAGAATGGATATCAAGGAGGCCAGTTAGTTCCCAAAGCCCAGGGACTGTGTCCTCAGGCAAACCCTGGAGGAATTCCTCTGGTTAGTGCTTCTTTACTCTGTGCTGGATTCCTATAAACCGCTTACCCAGGGGAGAAAGAGAAAATGAGTCTTTCCCAGGTGAGCACATCAAGTACCTCTAAGATCCTTCCTCTGTGCCTGGGGCTTATGTAATCCTCACAGAGCCCTGGGAAGGCCATGAGGAAGCGGAGGCCCAAGGCATTAGACAGCCAGCCCTCTTGGTCACTAACACACAACACTGATTCAGAAACACAGTTCTGTCTAGCTTGACCTACGAGGATTTGGGGCAATCCGGGATCATAGTGTAGGGCTCAAGCTGAGACTCTTCTGGAACCTACTAGGGCTCCTTGTACCAATGCACCCATTTGTGTAATTGTTGACCATGATGATCTTGAGGCCCCTAAGAAAGGTTACATTTTGACAATGGCCTTTATACATTTTGCAGATGGACATTATGATGGGGATTCTCACCATCAGCCCCAATTCAGTAGGACAGGACTTGGAAACTGGATGGCAGGAGATTCCGGGCCTCACCCCCTGCTGTACCATCTGCATCTGCATTAGAGGCTCTTTCCTCCTCCCCTTTCACTTTCTATGTGTGAAAGCTCTCTGAGCCCCAAGGCCCATAGGGAGTTGGAGGAGGAGGACAGGGGCTCTCTACGGTATCTCCCTGGTGGTCCCAGCCTTTGGACCAGTACAGCCTTTCAACCAGTGCCGCATCCTCAGGCTGGGTCTGGTCAGTGTTGGTGGGAGGACCCAGAGCCATTTCCTGTACTCTGTGCCACAAAGTGCCATCTAGCTCCTTCATTCCCTGGTCATATTGCTGGGTGTCTGCCAGGTGGGACATGCTGTGACTGGGCGGTGTCTTGTGGAGCCGATATGCACAGGCATTGAACAGGCCGCTGTACGGTTCTTGGTGATGGTGGGAATGCCCTCCTGAAGGAAAAGTCAGAGTGTGTACAGTCCAGGCAGGAAGAACGTGGCGAGTTCCTTGGGTCTCTTAGAAGGGTCTCAGAGGTGGAGGAGCTAGCAGGAAAAGGGGCCAGCCTGGGGCACCAGGACATGTCTCATCCCTGCGCAAATCCTTGGCCCTCAACATCCAAGGTCAGATGCCACTTCTTCCTCAGAAAGTCCCCTGGCACCCTGTCCTTTCTCCCTCCAACTATCGGTAATCTTTCCTGCAAGCCTTCGCCCTTCTGATTTCCACCTGTGCTGGACATCTAGCGTGTGCCAGGCACAGAAGAAAGACGGCTGCCACCCAGACACTTGGCACATGTGGCCTGACCAGGAGTAAACATCACAGCTGCCAGTGCTGGCCGGGCACTGCAGGGGTTCACTCCTGTGGGCGGCCCAGCTGCCCGGGAGGTGGGCAGAGGGACACTTCCCATTCTGCCGATGAGGAACCGTAAAGGAGGTCAGCACACTGCTCAGACACACAGAATAGGCGTGATGAGGAGGGCTCCAGGGGCCTGAAGGAAAGCCGTGGCAGGGAGCCTTTCCATGGGGAGCCTGCAGGGGGGGTGTTGGCAGGTGGCCTGACTCCCTCCAGCTCGGCGGTCAGACGTTGGTTTCAGCCCTGATTCGACTATTTCTCAGTTGGGGACTTTAAATCACCGAACTTGCCAGACCTCCCCTCTGATGAGTCGACAACTAAGGTGCTCAGGTCTGCTTTACAGAGCTGAACGCAGTCATCCGGGTGGGCTCAGCAGGGCACTTGGCAGTGACCACTCCAGGAAATGGCAGTTCTCTCTTAGAAACTTGACATGCTTCTTTGTCAGACTGCAGCATCTTCGAGATAGTGTCTGTATGTGACCTCCCTGGGCCCCTCCCTAAGGTCATGCGTTTCTGTCAGGCACATGGTGAATGTCGGTAGATTAAATGAAGGATGGAGTGCATAGCAGTCCCCACGTGGCAGGTGTCTCTTTGCTGAACACTGTATTTAGCCTTCTGACAAAGTCTCCTCATACACTATCTTTGGGAGACAATGTCTTTTTTTTTCTCTGAAATGCCCAGGCATGGTACCTGACTCCATGGAGCTGGGGGCTACAAGGAACTAAGTGCAGTTTGATTTTTGTGGTTTAATGTCAGGGCCAGAGCTTCCGCTGCGGTCCCTGCTGAACCATGGCTTTAACAGCTCAGCCATTGATGGGAGATAAGCAGGAGAGGCCCAGGTGGCCAGGATGAGGCCGTAGTCTTCAAGCACATCCGCCCATTGCCCCAGGTTTTTTAATTGCTAACTGGTGTTTGCATGCATTTGGGCACCTGGATCTCCATCAGAGGTCTAATCTGTGTCCCCTCTCTGTCTCCCATCCCTCCCCATGTCCTCGCCCTGCAGGAACGGCATCACCAGTTGCCGGATGCGGACTGAGAGCGAGCCATCGTGTGGCTCCCCCGTGGTCAGCGGAGACCCCAAGGAGGATCACAACTATAGCAGTGCCAAGTCCTCCAACGCCCGGAGCACCTCGCCCACCAGCGACTCCGTCTCCTCCTCCTCCTCCTCCTCGGCCGACGACCACTACGAGTTTGCCACCAAGGGGAGCCAGGAGGGCAGCGAGGGCAGCTTCCAGAGCCACGAGAGCCACAGCGAAACGGAGGACGACGACAGGAAGCCCAGCCAGAAGGAGGCCAAGGATGCCCTGGGGGACAGCGGGTACGCATCCCAGCACAAGAAGCGCCAGCACTTCGCCAAGGCCAGGAAGGTCCCCAGCGACATGCTGCCCCTCAAAAAGAGATGCACGGAAAAACCCCATGAGAGCGACGACGAGGAGATGAAAGAGGCAGCCGGGTCGCTCCTGCACTTGGCAGGGATTCGGTCCTGTTTGAATAACATCACCAATCGGACGGCAAAGGGGCAGAAGGAGCAGAAGGAAACCACAAAAAATTGAAAACAAGTCATTGATTTGTTTTGAACTTAGGCCATTTGGTTTCAGCATGTCAGGAGATTTCTAATGATTTGTGGCAATATCAGCAATTTTTTTTTTCTTTTGGTTTGATTTTCTTTCTTTTCTTTTTTTTTTTCTTTCTTTCTTTTTTTTTTTTTAATTTGCCCCCCTCTCCTTTGTTTTGGACCCTTAAGAATTTTATTTTTAAAGGAGATTGAAGCCATAGAACTCATATTGACACTCAGCTGTTTTACAAAAGCTTTTCATTATCCGACAACAAAACCGAGAAAAAGCCAAAATTACCATTGCTTCCTGCAGCTTGTCAGAAACACGTGGCTTGAACCCACAGGGATGTCAACGTTAACGCCACATTTGGAGTACACATTTGGCACCTAGAAGGCACGTGTGCAAAGTAATYGTCATTCAGGCCCAACCCTTAGGTTTAAAAAGAATGTCCTTCCATTCGGGTTCACTGAGTGGAGAGGCACATACAGTAATGGGGGAAAAGGAAGAACCCCGCGTCCCCTTAGGCACAGACCCAGGCCTGTGCACCCAGCTTCCCACTGGGCAAGGAATGCCCTGGGCATTGCCATACAGCAAGCAAGGGCTCTGCCACCAGTCCTCTGTGCTCCGAACCTTGAGGCCTGGTGATGTCTTACAAGCTGAGCACCAGACTGTTGAGACACGTCAGGTGTCAGTGACCAAGAAGTGGGGTAAACGGTAGTCACATTGGTGATTACTCTGTTCTGTAGCTAAGAATATGTTCCCAAAGCCATAAGCCTGAAGGTTGGTCCTGCACGTGCATACACACACACACACACACACACACACACACACACACACACACACCCCACACATATGATTGGGACTAAGAGAAAAAAATCATGAAAAAAAAAAACAGGCCATATCTTCTAAACTGCCCAAGTGAAAAGCAATCAAGTCTGAAAATTGACATTAGCTGTTAAGGAAGGAAATAATGGTACAGATTCTTTTTCTGTCTATCAAAACTATTTGATCCAAGTGAAATTAAAAAAAAAAAAAAAAAAGCTACCAAACCTGCCAGTACTAGTGTGGTATATAAAGGCACATTGATGGACACACTTCAAAAGTAAAACATGGCAAAAAATAATAATAATAAGTAACTCCTATACTGCCCTCAAAAAGGAGCCTGCAATTAATGTCAGTCAATATTCATCTTTGCAAAAAAATCTGATTTCCACATTCAGCCAGTGTAGCCAGCAGAAATTTCTGATCCACAATGCATGGATTCCTTTAAAGAAAAAAAGAAAAAAAAAAAAAAGAAAAAAAATCATAAAAAACAAACTTTTTTTTATTCAAAAATAACAAAAGTTCTTGTAAGGTAAATAATGTATTTAGCATGAAGCATGAATTATTTTCATATAAATATAGAAAATAGAGAAAAGGCTATGCCTCTAATTTTTAAGCCCTTAGGCTTAGAGGTTCTTTGTTTTCCTCCTTCTTTTTTTTTTTCTTTATTTCTCTTCCTTTTTTCTTTTTCTTTCTTTTTTTTTTTTTCCTTTTTTTCTGGGTTTTTGTTTTGTTTTGGTTTGGTTTTTTGAAGCAGGTGTTTAAGGTTTAATCTTCTTCAGGGACAAATTCTGACTGTTGGGGAACTTACTCTGCAATATAAAAATCTCTTCATGCTCTGGTAGGGCTTGGATGGTTGACTCTGCACTGCCTTGTCTGCACTCAGCCCGACCCCTCTGATTCTCTACTGGAGAGC